CCAGAACCATGAGAACTTTGAAAATTTCTGTATACCTCTCCATGGCCATGAAACCCTTCTTAAAGAGGGATGGAGGAAGTTGTTCTCCAATGTTTGGCTTCCTCCTGAAATCTTGAAGAAAACGTGGCCCTATAATCCTGGGAAGTGGGTGGTTACTTTCTAACCGTTAAATAACAACACTTTTTCTCTCTAAAAAGCCTCCATTTTTTAGTGATAAATATTAAATTATAAGAGAGATAAATATTGCACATTTAAGGGCCCTATGGCCACACACACGTACCAACATCTCTCACTTAACAATGAGGGCCAAATATATTGAAATATCATAAAGTCTTTACCACTTAATGAATTTAACATTTATGTGCATATTTTTGTCATGAGTCAACGCAAGTGCGGTTATACATCTTATAACAAAAAATATCCAAAGTCATGTCATAGTTTTTCACGCTAATGTGGTTTTTCCTCTCATGACCAATACATCAAAAAATATCCCATTTGGGAGTTTTTGACTTAAATATTTTAAGTCCCATCAAAACCACATGCTTTGATAATATTATACGTTCAATCCCTTTGTTAAAAGGTCAGCAATCATATCTGAAGATGGCAAATAACTTACGGTTATTTCATTCTTTCTAATAATATCATAAATATACTGATAATCAATTTCATTATGCTTACCTTTAGAACTATAAGCTCCATTTCTAATTAATGAAATAGCAGCCTGGTTGTCACAAAAAATTTTAACAGGTCCGTCGGCTATATCCAACTTCGAATCATTTATGAAGCATTTAATCCAAACAGCATAAATTGTAGCAATGTTACAATCAATATACTCGGCTTCCATAGTATATCGAGCTACACAACATTGTTTCTTACTAGACCAAGAAACACATCCACCACCAAAGAGGAATACAATTCCTGAGGTTGATTTTCTAGCATCTGTGTTTCCTGCAAATTCTACATCAGAGTACCCAGTAACCTCTAAGTTGTCAGCTTGGAAGCACAACTTGTAATTTTTAGTTTTCTAAATATATCTAAGTATCATTTTTATAGCTTGCCAATGAGTCATCCCAAGATTACTCTGAAATCTACTTACAATACCATATGTATGACTCAAATTAGGTCTTGTACACAACATGATATAATTTACGCATCCTACAACTTGAGCATATGGAATTCTTTTCATTTCAGCTTTAACACTATCATTTAATAGACACATTTTTTTTGATAATTTCAAGCCTTTACAAACAGGTGTATCTATGGGCTTGCAATTTTTCATCTTAAATATCTTTAAAACACTTTCTAAATAATTTTCTTGAGATAAACATAGAAGTCTTGAACTTCTATCTCTTGTTATCTTAATGCCCAATGCATATGAGGCTTCTCCCATGAAAAGTAAAGTACCATTGCTGAGAAGATTGTTTTAGACCATATAAAGATTTCTTAAGTTTATATAATTTGTCTTCTTGGCCTTTAATTATATAGTTTGTTGTTTTATGTATATATCTTCTATTAATTCTCTATTTAAGAAAGCTGTTTTGACATCCATCTGAAATAATTCTAGATCATAATATGCAACTAATGCAAAGATGATCCTAATAGATGAAAATTTTGCTACTGGATAATAAGTTTCTACATAATCTATGTCCTCCCTTTGGGTAAATCCTTTAGCTACCAACATAGCTTTATATTTATAAATGGATCCATTTGCATTAAGCTTTTTCTTTATGACCTATTTTCAACCGATGGCTTTTCTATCTTTAAGGAGGTCAACCAACTCCCAAACTTGATTTCTTTTAATAGAATCAAGTTCATCATCCATGGCTTCAGTCCACTCAGCTAAGTTATGTGAGCTAATAGCTTAATTGTAGCTACGAGGTTCATCATCCTCACTCATTGAAGAGTAATTATCTTCATTCATAAATACATAAAATTATTCTAAAGTCGTAGGTGGGGCTCTAGTTCTTTTAGGCTTATCTGGTATACTTGATTCAATTGAATCATTCTCACCAAATGTAGAGGGAGTCTGAGAAACAGGGTCTTCTAGACCCTTATCTTTATCAATTTCATGTAAGTCAATAGGCCTATTTAAAATATTTTCATCATCTATATTTTATAAGAAAAAAGCATCACGACTCTCTACTACTGATCTAGTATCATAATTATAAAATCTATACCCTTTAGAATTTTCTGAATAGCCTATAAAATACTATTTTATAGTTTTACTTTGTAATTTATTTCTATTTTGTGGTGGTATAAACACATGTGCTCAAGAACCCCAAACTTTCAAGATAGTATGGTCAGGTTTCCTACCTGTCCATAATTCATATGGGGTAAAGTCTATAGATTTAGTTGGAACACGATTAATAATATATATTACAGTGATGAGAGCCTCACCCAAAAAACGAGGTGATAAATTTGAATGGCTCATCACCTAACCATGTCCATTAAAGTTCTATTTATCCTTTCGACTACAACATTTTGTATGGTGAATTATACCATGCTCCTTACAAAATTCAGAAAATAAGGTGGGGCAATATTCACCTCCCCTATCTGTTCGAAGAATTTTAATATGTCTACCTAACTGATTTTCTACCTCAGCTTTATATTATTTAAATGTTTATAATGCATCTGATTTCTTACTAAGTAGGTATACATATCCATAACATGAATAATTGTCTATAAATGTTATGAAATATTCCATACCTCTATGTGTTTTCACATTTAATGGGCCACATATATCAGAGTGAACAATACTAAGTAGTTCTCTAAACCTTTTCCCTTTAAGGACAAGTTTTTCAGTTAATTTATCAGAAATACATGGCTCGCATGTTTTGAACACAATTTCTCCTAAATTGGGGTGCAAGTATCTTTTAACCATTTGATTCATTTTGTCTTTATTTATATGTCTTAATCTCAAGTGCCATAAATATGGATCATCCATACACATAAAAGCATAAAAAGAAGCTTCATTATAACAAAAAAATGATGAACTTTCATTAATATTCAGTCGGTATAAATTGTCAACTTTAGTACCATACACCAAAGCTCTAGAACACTTCCCAATGGTAACCCGATCAGACCTGAACCTAAAAATCTATAGTAAAATAATGTTTTGAAGGTGAAAACCCTATAATTGATCATCTCGGCATCAAGATGTATAAAAATATATATATATAAAAAAAAAAGAAATTTGTAGTCTAAAAAATAGTGTATCTTGCAACACATTATCTAGATTGTGCATTTTTTAGATTTTCATATGTTTATAGATCTACTTGATTTAAATTATTTTTGGAGTTTAAAATTTTATAATTAAATAAAAAATAGATTCTCATCACATTCTAAAAATTTTGAACACCAAAATTATATATGGTTATAAATTTTGGTGGTGCACCTTATTTTTTATTAACCTCATACAAACCACGCCCTTTTTCTTTTAGATATGGCCCTGCATAAAAAACATTAAGGGAAAATTGTTAAAAACCCCAAAAAATATACTTTTTAGACACTCTACCCCCACCCTAAATTTGTTTCACTTATTTTTCTCAAAAAATCCTCTTTTCTAACTAATACCCCTACCATAAAAAAAAAGAAAAAAAAGACAAAATTACCCTCCCTTTTAATTTTTCCCTTTTCCATTTCCACTTACCCATTTTTTTATGCGTTTAGTTTGGCAGTTTATGTACCCGATCCGGCAAGTTGTTTACTGTAATATGGGCAGTATGGCGATTGGAAGTAGCGCTCCGGTAAGTTACTTAATGGAGTGGGCTTAGTTCGGTGTTTGTAATGTGCTGTCTGGCGTGTGGTTATGGAATGATGTTAAGTCCGACATTTTACAGCCGCGCTCCGGCGTTAGGGTCGAACTATCTAGCACTGGGAGGATGCAGTTTGGCAATATCTTACTTGCGGTCCAGTGTTATAGAGCTTCGCTCTGGTGATTTTGTTACTGGAGACGTAAGTCCGGCATTTCATGGTCTTCATCCGGCGTTTTAGATACACGAGTAGGGTGGTTCGACGTTAGTAATCTATGGTTTGGCATATCATTGTCTAAATAAAGCAATCCGGCATTGTAGAAATGCAATCTGGCATATGTCATAAGTCCGGTAAATAATAACCGCGGTCTGACAAAAGTATTATTGGGGTCCGTCCAAATGATTTGTTCGTACGGTAAAGGTATGGGAAGGGGTAGTTTTGTCAAAAAAGACAACTTTTTAGTTGGGGATATTAGTTAGAAAATATGGTTTTTGAGAAAAATAAGTGAAAAAAGTTTAGGGTGGGAGTAGAGGGTCTAAAAAGTACATTTTTTTGGTGTTTTGAGCAATTTTCCCAAAACTTAACCTTACTCTCTAGTCTCCACATAGCACGGCCAAAAAGCATTTCATAAAGGGTGTAGTTTGCATAAGAGTGCAACCTTAAACAATCATAGCAACGTGCACTTTCATAATCTATAGTACGATGTAATTTTGGCACAAAATATTATTAAGATAGCTTAATAATTCATTTTCATCTCTAATTATGAAATTTTAAACCAACAAATGACTTAAATTAAATAGATCCGTAAACATAAAAAAATATTGAAAATAGACGATCCAAATAATATAGTGCAAGATGTATTATTTTTGGTGCTCAAATTTTTTTTTTTAATGTCCATACATTTCAATGTCGAGAAGCAAACTTGTTTTTTACTATAGATTTTTTGTTTTCCAACTTACTTTTTACAATAGATTTTTTAGGTGCACATAATTCTATATTTCTTAGGTTGCAACTTTACATAAGCTTTTTCCTTGCATAAATTTTGTCGCGAAAATTAACCAAAAATTCGCCTGAAAAGTTCGCCAAAATGTACAGCAACAGTTTAAAGGAAATGATTTCTTTCGCCCTTTATTCTTTCCCATTTTACGCTTCCACCCTCAATCCACGTTATCCCGTATTTACGGCGAGACTACATATGATAATTCACCTAATCTACAGGGTAAATATATTCAAGAGTCGATTTTGCCGCCAATAATACAGTGGTCGAAAACGAATGTACAATGGCGCCATTCTCTCTCTCCCTGTTCACACGCACCTCTCGCTCTCTACCAACACTCGCATCCCTCCAGCCTCCGAAGCATACATCTTTCTCTCAAAAATGCAGCGCCAAAAATCGATTGATTCATTTTTTTACCAAACCCTCGCAGGGAAATGAGAATTCCGGCGGTTCTTCTCACGCCGAGATGCTTATCCGGCTGCGGAAAATGCAGTTCCCTACGAATCGAGTGAAGCAAACCTCAGCTGTTGCGAAGGTGTCTAGTGTTTCAAATGAGAGGGAGTTTCCATTTGTGGAAACAAAGGGTCCAGATACGCCACCTGAGAAATTGCACGCTCGGCCTGTTAATTTATCCGTGAACGGAAATAGTGATTCTATGCCTTTTGAGAAATTGATGCAAATTTTTTTAGTGGAAGATGAACCAGAAGTCGATGGAAAAGGGTCAATGTGATTAAACCTTTTTTTTAAGTCATTTGTGCTTTATTTTTTGTTTCTTTGTGTTTTGATTAACTCTTTGTTTTGGATTGATGCAAGCTTTAATATCCTATTCACTTATTGTTTTATTAAGCGGAAATTTTTCTTTTAAATACAGTTTTTTGTTGTTTTAATCTGGCAAATTCACTTATTGTTTTATTAAGCGGAAATTTTTCTTTTAAATACAGTTTTTTGTTGTTTTAATCTGGAATGTGCCGGTTTTAGCTACGGATTACAACCTTTTATGTTTTTCCTTTAATTTATGTATCATCTGTGATTGATTGGTTTATTGTAGTAGTGTTGCCTTCATATGATATTGTGGTTTTTCCCCTATAGTTTGTTTTGTATGGCATTTCATTTTTTGGCATTAAATTTAGAATCAAATTCAGAGAGTCTCTGTAGCATACTCTTATCAATAGTTGGGTGTTTCTATGCAATGGCACCGTGTACATATGATTTTGCTCGTCTCTGTAGCTTATTTTTATAACAAAATACCGAATACAGTTTCTATTCTTCTGATGAATTGGCAGGTTACTACGATTTATCAAAAATGGCACAAAAAAAGAAAGAAGAAGAAGAAGATGATGATGATATCTTTCTTAACTGTTACTTATTGGCTATTGCAGGAAACAGATGGGAAAAGGTACTGTTAGTTCAAAGCCAAAATTGCAACCAACTTTTGATGAGGACATTGGTTTATCAAAGCAGAGAACTCCCTTTAGGCCCCCATTGAAGATTGGTGCTAGTAATTTATGTGCTAATATTTAAAATGGTGGTTCTCAAACTACTGAAACTACTCCTGAAGGCATAGAGACTCCACCAGAAAAATTGCTGGCACGGCCTCGTTCCAGCAGGTTCTTCAAAAAGGAAGAAAGTAATTTTGTGTCTCTTGAAAGTTTAATGGGCAAGTTTGTAGTGGAAGATGAACCAGAATGGGATGAAAAAAGATATATTGGGAGTAAACCTTATTTTTATTGTAATTCATGCTTTATTTTCAAAATACTAAACCTTTCAACATTTACCCATCTGCAACTACTCTAACTCAAGTCCATGTCTTTTTTATGGGTATTTTGAAATTAAATCAAAATATATCGGTAAAGTGTTTGTTCATGTACTTTTGTCAAGAAAATAAAAAACGTTAAATTGTTCATCTCTATGGAATTTAGTAATTTTCCTTTTTTCTTTTTTCTTTGATATTTGTTTTTGCATGATCTGGAGTTAATTACATGTGCTGTTCATTCTGACAAGGCGTGGAGTATTGTCACATATATCTAATGGATTTCTGTTTTATTCTAGTTCATTCTGTTTTGTTGTTTTCTTATGTCATTATTTACCATGAAACTAAAATTGACTTCAGTGTGTACTTCTATTTAACCATGTGCTTCCATATTGCTGTTTTGTCATGATTTTCTTCCTTATTGTAACCTATCTTAAGTTACTAATATTGTTTTGGAATATACTATAAGACCATTTATTTTTAGTACAAGGTGGTCACAATTAATCTTCACCATTCGATGTGAAATTAGATGGCCGAATTTATTCAATTGACCAAGCTCAAACTTCAAAGGAAATTTTCTTGAACATTGTGACACATCCAAACTATTAGATTTCACATCAGACAGTTGTAAGTAATTGTGACCTCCTTGTATCAAAGGTAAATGGTCTCATTGTATACAATCCCTATTGTTTTTCATTCTTTTTATACCAGTATGGGCTAATGCTAGGGGAAAAACTAAAATGTTGACTAAAGTTCTTCATCAAATAATTATGCTCTCTTTAATGGTTTTAGACTTGGATTGGTGTTTGATATTTCTTTTCCAGTGTGGGTTTTTGCTAGGAAAAAAACTGAAATTTTTGCTAAAGTACTGAAGCTGTATCCAATTTCATTTAGCTAATAGATAAACAAAGAATGACTATGAGAAAGTGAAGGAGTATTCAGAAGTTAAACGTAACAGCTGTCGAAATTATGTGCCAAACAGATCAAAATTTGGCTGGCTACAGTAGCTCTAATTTGTTTGTTATTGAAACAATTGTGTCTAGCACATAGTACTCTTTGACTGCACAATATAGTATTTTACTGTGCTTCTTTAACTCAACGTTGTGTAATTTAGAATGTGCTTGAGATTATGTCCTTCACTTCTCAATGATAAGGTGATTGAGTTATTTTATTTATAATGAGTTTTTTATTTTTTCTGATGATTTAATCAAGAACTTTATTATTTATATGAAGAGAGAGATCATAATTTTCTACTGCTTTTACTTGCCTCTTTGCAGGAAGCAATGTCGACAAGGTACTACTTGTTCAAATCGGAAATTAGAACCAACTTTTGATAAGAATGTTGCTTTTGAAATCTGACAAACCGCTTTAGGCCTCTTTTAAAGAATGAATCTGTTGAGTTTAGTGCTGGTCTTGAAAATGGAGGTTCTCGAAGTGTTGAAACTGTACATGAGATTTCAGGGCGAGAAACACCAGCTATGCGGCCACTAGTTCCCCAGTTGCAAAGAATCCAAGAGGAACAGTGTAACTTCAATGATATGCTTAGAGATTCTTTGACGTTTGGCTTAAACAAAAAGCAAAAATTGGTTAATGATTTAGACTTAGGGCCAGGCATTGGTAGTTACGGTGGAGCATCCGAAAATATAGACAGTAAGTTTGAATGGCTCAACCCATCATCGATAAGGGACTCAAATAAAAGAAGACCAGGTGATCCCTTTTATGATAAGCAGACCCTCTGCATACCTCCTGATGCCTTAAATAAGATGTCTGCATCCCAGAGACAGTATTGGACTGTAAAAAGCCAGTATATGAATGTTGTTCTCTTCTTCAAAGTGGTAAGTTTGAATCATACTTTCATGGGTTCTCTGATTCTCTCGTTTTTATATGGTTTCTCTTGGTATGTTGAAAACACCCTTTACTGTTCCCATAGCCAACTACTCATGACAATGTTCACAACTTTATATTGCATTTTCTATTCGTTTTCATGTCACTTAGTTGCATACATACCAAGTGTACTTTCAAAGATTCTCATGATGTTTCTTGGAGTTTTTTATTAGTAAAAAATGCCACTTGTACACAATTGGATCTTTGATGACCATGTATATTTCAATATTTCTCTTTTCTTATGCTGGTCAGGCCAAATTTTATGAGCTTTATGAATTAGATGTGGAGATTGGTCACAAAGAGCTCAATTGGAATATGACATTCACTGGTGTGGGTAAGTGTAGACAGGTAAAATTTCTATCTTCCTGATGGTTTTTTTTGTTCAAGCAACTGCATATTTACTTTTGCAAGATGCTAATCTCTTTTGATATATTTTCTATCAATAATGCCCATCAAGTTAACCTCTTATGAATATTGGCTGCCATGTTGCTTATGCACTCATGCTCTCTTTCATTTTTATTGCAGCTCATCTCAATAGCAAGCAATTTGTTCTGCTGTTGTCATGCATTTTAATGCTTTTCTTCTGATGATTCTGAAGGGTTCTCGATGAAGTGGGGGGAAAATGATATAATGTGATATAGCTTATGAATTATGATCTGTTTTGCAGTTAATATGTTTGCTTTGTATTAAACGTTCAAATGGAAGTTGTAGTATAACCATGAACATGACTACTATAATTGGTTATGCTTATGTTTTAGAATTCGCGCAGGGGTCCCAGTTTATTTATTGCACATATATTGTGTCCAGCTGTCATGACTCGGACATAATCTAGCATGGTTCTCATGATTTTTTCTTTTATACTTAATATTGTAAATCCAATTTTTATGTTGATATTAATATACTTTTTACCTTGTGGGCAGGTTGGAATTTCTGAGAGTGGAATAGACGATGCTGTTCAGAAGCTGATAGCCCGCGGGTATGGATATTTTCTGTGTGACCATGTGTGACCATCCCATGGAAACTTCTCACCAGTGTACAGAAAAATGGCTCGGCCAAGGTATTCAGTCGTTGGCTGAGGCGAGTTGCTAGGGCGAGTCTGAGTTAGAAGTTTCTAATTGCTTTCTTTTTCCCTTCCCATGAGTTGGCAAGAGTACTGCCAATTGACTGGGTGTTATGCCTAACATTTTGATGCATCTGTTTTACCTGATCTTAAAGTGTATTAAGAATTTATTTCTCTATATTGGTCTTTTACTCTCTTCTTTTTCGGATGCTGCAAAAATGTTGTGTAATTTAACTCACTTCAGTTTTTATATGGAAGATACAAAGTTGCAAGAATGGAACAAACCGAGACAGCTGATCAAGTTTAGGCTAGAGGAGGAGCAAGTACTGTAAGTATTTCTTGGGGCTTTGGGACAAATTGTGTGCAGGTGTTGGTATGGATGTTGTGTTTGTGGGTGCGTTTTGCCAACTGACAATTGTACTGTCCCTTCCCAAACTAGTTTTTCATATAATAGTGCAATGGAGATTCTATGTGCTTTTTTCCTTGTGCAACATATGTTTTGAGGGATGATATTGTCATTTTGGGCATGCACCTTTATGTGTTGTTCAATAAGATTTTGCTATATACCCTTGTATATATGTGGTTATTTGTGATTACTTGTGGAGTATAGGACTATGCAGGGTTCTGTTCTGCTCGTAGCTATGCTTATATTTGCAGGTGATGGAGCGGAAATTTGTTCATGTCTTAACTCCATCAACGACTTCGGATGGCAACATTGGAGCTCATGCCATTCATCTTCTTGCTTTGAAAGAGGTATGCAATGTCTCCTGTATTTTTATGATGCTAGAAAATGCTTAAAAATAATCTGCTCTTAAAGTACTATTTGTTTTTTTGCTCTATTGATGATGCAATAATCATGATCCTTAATGTTTTCTTCAAAAGGTCATTAAAGCATTTTTTGGGAAGCTTAATGATGCTATGATACTAGTTATTGATGTCATGGACTCGGTGAATTATGTCACATTCATCAGCCCTTCCTAATCAGTGCCATATGTGCATCTATTTTTCAAATTCAAGATACTTCTATGATAATTCTGGTTTATGTTTTAACCTGCATTATATTCTTATCTTCAGGGATGTTCCGGCCCATATGGTGGCAGTTCACCTGTTTATGGATTTGCCTTCCTGGATTGTGCTGCTTTGAAATTTTGGGTTGGTTCGTAAAGCGATGATGCTTCTTCTTCTTCAGCATTGGGAGCTTTGCTGATGCATGCGAGTGACTTGACTTTCATCCATATTGCTTTTCATGAGCTTTTCAGAAATGTGTGCGGTTGACTTCTTCTTTTGTGTTTCAGGTTTCCCCTAAAGAAGTGTTGTATGAAAATGAAGGTGAACTTCTTACTGTTGTTTCTTGATTAAGTTGATGAGATCTAGTTTATTAGATGTAGTCCTGAATATTCGTTTGGTGCAGGCTCTTGAAACAAACTCAGCAAGCACTTAAAGATTTGCTTCAACAGGTAAAATTTTCAAATGAATATCTCATATTGAAAGTTATATGGAAGAATTTCCTCATGATAATTGTACCTCCTGGTTTATACTGACAAATTTTGAGGCAGGAAGCTTGCTTGTAGCCTGTATGAATGTTTTCCTCAAATCATTTATTTGATTTCTGCTTCCTAATGTAGCATCAGTGGTCAACTAATCATTATTATAAAAAAATTAGCAAAATTACTAACCAAATGAGATGCATCTGCGATGCAAACTATGGAAGAAAACTTTTTCAGTGTCCCTGTAAATTGATTAGTAGGAACCTCATTGGCTGACCAGTACTTGCTCACTTGAGCCCTGACTAACAAATAGAGATCATCATATCCTATTCTAAGAAATTTCAAGGACCTTATAATTGATGCAAACCAGTTTTCTTTACACAAGTGTGCTCAGTTTTCAAGCTTTAATGGCAAGGTGGATGGGGATAAACTGATATATTGCATACATGAGCTGATGGAGAACATAAACTGCCATTACCTTTAGAGTTGATAAAGAGAATTGAATGACATAGAAGAAACCCACAAAATACGTACGCATACTAGATGATTATTGCCTCCTTATATCATGCCATTACTTAGGGCTGCCCATTATGAAGAAAGGTTCAGTAAATTTGAGATCAATGGCTTCATATGCCCCCTTGCAATTGAAATGGATCCTATTGTGATAATGTTGCAGTTGACTATATTTTATATAATTATTCAAGGTGATTTTTCACATTGCGTTGCTTGTATTTGCTGTTTCAAGGATTCTTGGAAGATGTGATAATTCTAGTTGCAGTGCGTACTCAACTTCTTAGGGTTCTGCTGGCTGTCAATAATCAATTTAGTGGAACTTATAGATGATGGCTTTTTTCCTTTGTTCTTGCTATGGTTCCATTGAAGAACTCTTTGGGCTTATCTAGACAAATTTTTTGGTAATTGATGTGGACCATTGTGAATGGGTGACATGATTTATATGTTATCAATCCAGGTGATTTTTAGACAGTGTTAAGATGAATACTCCTCTGATTTCAGAATGTGTTCATTGTTTTCATTTTGGTTTCACATGCAGGTTCCACCTCTTTACTGTTGGGCCCTGTTCTACCAGGGACATAGTTCGCAGATGCCTCTGAAGTTGAAAAGTTGATACAATCAAAGCACTATTTGAAGGATCCTGTAACCCTTGCACTTCTGCTTTCGTTGACATCAAGCACCCGGAGCTTGCAATTAGTGCCCTCGGGGGACTTGGTTTGTCACCTATCTAGGTTGATGGTGAGCCCATTTGGCCATGTTGTTCTAAATTTTCACTCATACTAGTTGTAAATTTATTTTTACCGATACAGACAGCTCTGATGCCAGCTAGATGATGTTTTAAGAAATGGAGATGTTGCACCCTATGACATTTATGCAAGATGTCTACAAATGGATGGATGGCCGAACTCTTGAGCTTTTTAATAATAATGCTGATGGTGGGAAAGTGGGTAACTTTTAACAGTCTCCATAATTTAAATTTGTTTTGAAGGTTGAATTATTCTGGAAATTTCAAAAACATTTTTCCACAATCGTCGGGGAAGGTTAAACTTTCTCGTCTTGTTTGCCTTTCAGCCACACTGTTGAATTATATTGATAGTTGCATTACTCCATCTGGCAAACGGCTGCTAAGAAACTGGATTTGCCATCCCCTACAGAATATTGAAGAAATTAATATGGTGGAAAATCTCATGAAGCATGTGGATATGAATATATCCTCATTACACAGCCTTTGCGCAAACTTCCTGACCTTGAAAGGCTGATGGGCCGGGTTAAATCTATCGTCCGGTCATCAGATGTACTGTCCTTGCCCTTGGTTGGAAAAAAGGTACAGAAACAATATGTAAGTATTATTGAAAGTTTTGTGAAAGAAGACCTATATGATCTTTTGTCGGGGAAATACAATTTTTTTTAAAAATAATAATCACCTCTTATAATTTTAACAATAAGATCACTCACAGTTGGATTTATTACAAACAATAGAAATTCTAAAAATAAATAACACATCAATAAAATAAATCTCAACTAATTGATGTCATTCATACAACCTAATACTATGTTTGAAAGTATAAAATAAAAGAACAAACAAATAAAAGAAAAGATGCTGGAAATTACCTCAATCAGGTATTTTACACTCCACACCGAGTCACCACATCTAATGGCGCGGGATTTGTGGTTAAGCTTCAATCTCGAACTGGGATAGCTGATTTTGGCCAAACTATGTAACCATCCCTTAAAATCTCTACTAAACCTTAACCTCAAAATTAACTTGGGCCCCTTTTAATTTTTTCAACCCTTAAAATTAATTTAGTTTCCTCCCATATAAATATGTTAGGAGAGGACCTGTAATCCACAAATTGGGATTGCGACCCTTTGGCTTATCGGCCAGATTTTGGTGACTCGCTAATGAGTCCCTGCTTAGATTAACACTGGGTCGGTTTGATAAAGCAAGTGTGCTCTGTAGTCCACAGTTGAAGGTGTAGTACCCCGTGATCGTTGATAGAATTCTTGAATCATATGGATATTTTTCCCATCATATTAATTTAATTGTGTTCATTTTATTATTGAAATGATTTTAGTTTTATTATTTGATTTTTTATGAATCTTTCAATATTTTAATTATGATTTTATGACTTATAAAAATACAGTTATTGATTTTACAAAGTTGTAAAAATTCAAATATATATTAATTCGTTTTATTTAATTTTAAAACTTTTTTATAAAATTTTATGGGAGCCCAAAGTACATATGGGCTCACCATGTGGCATGTGGGTGGGGGCCCAAATGTGCCACAAAAGGGTGGCACGCCCCACCCTTTTGGATTCTCTTTAATGGCTTTGTGTTCAAGACTTTAAGTTAAGGTAAGTTTGATTTGTGGCATGTGGTCAAATCTTGGAAGGGAAATATTGACCATCACTTTATTTGTTTTATAGCAAGTTTGTTTTAAAGGGATATGATCAATTTGAATAGGTAGTAAATATTGACCTTATCTTATTTATATTTGGTAGTATTTATTTATTTGATAATATTTGATAATATCCTTATGAAATACGTGATTTGGATCATGTAATTTTATGGAATGCATGATATTTATTTTATTTAAATATATTGATGGGAAAATAGTTTAAGGAAAGGGAGATAATGGTTCAAGCACCTTCCATAATGTTGATGGCTCATCGATGGAATGGATGGTTTAGATCTCTTACCCCATAAGTCACCTTGATCAACGGTTTAGATTCAATCTCATGAAAGAGGCAAATTATGGGAAAACCCTAAGAAACCTTAAACCTAAATATCCACTATAAATAGGGGTGCTCTCCCCCCAATCTCTACACAACCTCTCCCTCTCTAGGCATAAGCTCCAACCTCATCAAGGGCTAACCTAAAACCTTCATCGATTAATTCTTTATGCTCAGGTATCTTGGGTTTTCCAACCGTCTGACCTAGATTGATAAGCACAGTTCGGTATAAGTAAACATCATTTGCCTAATATGGTCCTTGAGGGACAATACTCCCACTGAGTTTATGTTTCACTATAATGAAAGTATTTCAATACACACTCAAAAGGCCTTTAAAGGCCACATAAACCCAACATTTTGGAAGTCATATTTTTGTTATTTCATAGTGTTTCGGTCACCAGTTGGGTGAATGGTTTTTCATTCTTATACAATCTTACTATAACCTTGAGTATGGACTACTGAAATTTCAGTTACTTAGTGAACTGTTTGCCTTGATGTTCTTATGTGGTATCTTAAAAAGTTGGGTTTCCAAAATCGATGATTCTTCATGGGATGGAGGTCGGTTGGAACTAATGTTCGCAAAACTGGCCGATCTAACCACTAACTGCTAACCGCCCAATTAGATCGGAACCTGGTAGTGGCCGGTTTCGGTTTTGAGTGGTCTTGGTGATCAATCGATTTCTTAAAGTTTAAATAGCATACTACTTCACATTTATAACAAATATTTTAGAATGGTGTATTGGTTAGCGCTGGCGACTATACTTTATACGAATCGCGGTTGAAATCCCACCATCAACGGTTTTCTTTTTAAACATTGGTGTGATTCATTTTCTTTTTAAACATTGGTGTGGTTCATTTTAACAATTCTAAGAATTCATTACATTGGTAAGAAGTTCAAAACATTTACTTGCCCACATGAATCAAACTTGAAAGTTCTTGTAAAAGCAATAATTTGCTATTAAACCCACTAACCAATGCACCATATACTATTTAGTTGCGTATTAGATCTATTAACCGATATGTCATTTACTACGTATTTACAAAATGAATGGTCTATATTGTATATAACTTAATTTTTTTTCCATTTTCTTTTAAAAAAGAGTTGGTGAAGTCGATTTTTTAATACTATTTTAATATTATTTACATTATGGTAAAGATTAAAAAACATTGTGGTCATTGATACTCACTTTTATACTTTCCCATCTTTTTCAGAAAATTTTAAAAATACCCCTAGGCACAATTCGATTCGTTAAAATCCATTTTTTTCAATAATTTTCAATTTCATTTGAGTGTGTTTTGTTTTAATCACATTCTTTATATGTTTTTCACATTTTAGTAGTTTTGTTTTTGTATCTTTGTCAATACTTTTTTGATCGTTTGGGACTTGTCCGGTTAGAGCGGTTTAATCGGCCGGTTTACCAGTTAGACAGGTTAAATCGCTTCCAGGCCCATGTCTGGTTAACCGTTCCAGTTTGATTTTACGAACACTGGTTGGAACTATATTGCTACATTTTGGTTTCTCGTGACACTAAGACATGATTGTGTGTTTTTTGGGTAGGAAGTTCCCATTATTGATTCTGAGCCTATGTATATGTTGAGTCATTCGCGAGTTTTGAACTTCTATGTGTGCAGCTGGTTGCACGGTTTTTTTGTGTCTTTTAGGCTTTCACTGCTTCTGAAGATTCAGTTAAAGATCTGCTTTCTTTGAGCCGATGTGGGACAAATTTTATCTGCATAATCTTGCTCATGAATAGTCTCTTTGTGTTTTTTATCTTATTGCGAGATTTTCTGGATGGCTGGTTTAGATGTTCCCTTTTTTTATTCTCATGGTGTTCCTAATTTTATTGGGATCACGGCACAACATGTGTTGTTTCTCCCAGTGGAAAAGATTTTTGGAATTTTTGTACAAATATTTTACATCCAACAATTCATAGGTGCTGAAGCTTTTTCTTTTGCATGTTACAATTTTCAGCGGTTGTCTTTGCATGTGTTTCAGGTGAAAGTGTTTGGATCTCTCATAAAAGGCCTCCGAATTGGGATTGGGATGGACCTGTTGAAAGTCTTATTGGTGTTCTCAACTAGCAAACTTCTTGGCTCCTTCATTGCTTAATGGCACTAAAAATCTTGATGTCCTTCTTACTCAATTGGAAGCTGCTTTTGATGATGATTTTCCTCATTTCCAGGTTGGTTTAGTAAGATTATTCTTCATAACCTAATCTTTTGAAGACACTCCCCGTTAAATTATGCATTTAATGCAGATTTGCTAAGTTATACTACCAGCCATGCATATGCTTCTAATCTCAGGTGGGTTGTTAGTTAAAGGGGGTAGATATATGCATGCATACTTTCCAGAAATGTTTTTGCCACAAAGGTTTAGTTTGAATATAAATGCTTACACGCATAAGCTCTCCATGTCGAATACTTTCCTGAAATGTTAAAACTTATTCGTAACAAATAATGAAGGAAGGATTTTGTTCGACATAGACCTCGACTAGATTCAATAACAGAACAAAGTGCATAGAATAACAACAGCAGGATTGATGAGTAACCTTGTTGCTTCATTCGATTAGTTTCAAAATATTGGTGATGTTTTCCTGATATTTCTGTGGAATTGGCTTCACTTTGTGACGGCAAAGACTTGAGGCTGAGTCTAACTGACGATCATTACACTGTGTACCATTGTTATATCTATTTAGGTGGGCTTTATAGGTTCTAATGGAATTCCTTCTTACTCCCCATCTTTTTTATTTGCACTTATTTTCTCTCCTAAAAACTGGCCCTTGTTTCTTTGATCTGTCTTTTAAGTAAATCAGGAAGTTGACAAGTTCTCAAAAATAAAGATGTGGAAGTACCTTTTTTATTCAACAAACTATTACACAACAAATCGCAATTTTTTGCTTATGAAATAATTAACATCAATGTTCAACTGATAAAAAATAGAAAATGACTTGTGTAACATTTGGACTATTATATTTTTTTTATGCTTATATTTATACTGCGTGGTTTGTTATATTTAGACTGTTCCCTTATTTTTCTGGTGCATCTTTTCAATTTGTTTTGGATTCCATCTTTAGTTGAATATTTCTTCTTTAAATGTGGAAACAAGAATCCCGGAGTAATTAGTTGGGGTGGATGATCCAGATCGCCGATCCATTTTTTTAAGCCTTGGTTGTATCGTCTCCAATTAAAATACGATTTTTTCAAAAAATCTCCGATTTTTTGAAATACATTTGGAACTCCGATTTTTACAAAAGATCTTCAAAAAATCATGACTTTTTAATGGAGCCGATTTAAATCCGTATTTTATCTTTTTTCAAAAAAAGATTTTCAAAAAAACTTTTTCCTATAACTTTATTTCTTCATTAACTTAATATTATCAAATTTTGATCTAAAGATAAATGCCCTAACAGTGGGAGTAAATTAATATTCTTGATTTAACAAAAAATTCCATCAAGAATTCACCAATGAGTTATCTTAAAAAAAGTATAAAAAAACTACAAGCAATATATTCCTAAAAAAAAAAAAATACATTCATACATTTCAAAATAATAGGCAAAATTAGAAGAACAACGTAATAAAAAATCTATTTTTTTTTTACTTTAAACCCATAATGTCCTTGTAAAGAGTGAGAGAGAGAATCATACTAAAGATTTAGGTAGCTATTCATTCAAATTTTCTTGAGCATTTTTTTTTTTTGTAAAAAGAATTTTAATTAATTTTATATATATTTTTATATTTTATTGGTGTATACAACATAGCATTTTGGATGGAATATTATTTCACATATTTGGGTATTTGTGTGTTTTTTTTTAATTAGCCTCAATCTTATATTGAGGGTGTTTTTTTGTTTTAGAAATAATCGTATACCTTGGTTTACAGTTCTTATTATTTATTCATTAGTTCTTGTGTTTAGTATTGTTGTTGTTTCATTTTATGCATGTAATAGATTTACAATATGTTTTGTGATGCGACAATAAAGTAAGTATTGTTATTATATTTATTTAAAATTACAACAAAAAATTGTTAAGTATTATTCTAATGTCATTCGTAAGGCTATAAAATTATTGTTTAGTGACTTTAGCATACCTATACAATAATTACAAATCATAATCTTATATTTTATCGTCTTTACATATTCGATTTTTTCATTACATTTTTTTGAACCAAATATGAAATATTCACGATTTTATAGCTTACTTTATTTTTTGGCGATCTAATTTTTTGACCTGATTTTTTCCGGACTTTTTTGAAATAAAATCAATTTATTGCCTATGTTTTGGTGTGCCGATCTTTTATTATCCCCGGACTTGTTGACTATGGTTGTACCACAACATTCCGTATTACACACCCTTAATAAATAAGATTACGTAAATGCCCTTCACAGTTGTCCCTTATTTCATGAATGAAAGCACGCTTCGGATATTTGTTTCTCACCCCCTCCCATTTCTCACCCCCTCCCACCAACCATCCCTCTCATCTTCCCAAACATAATAAACCAATCCATACCTGCTATTTTTGTTCAATTTTTTCCATTGCTTCCTTTATTTATTCCTTGCCTTTACATAAAAAGTTTGGTTTTACATGGTGGGAAACACACTGTAAATGTGAGTCCGCCCTCCCCAAATCCAAAATTGCGTGTCTAGATCAAATCTTCGTGAAGAAAGCACTTTCGGCAAAAAAAATCTCCACAATGGTTTTAAAATCAATTTTCAACACCAACAATAAAGTTCGAACTAAAAAAATGGTACAGATTTTGTGGATATGTGAACATTTAATAGGGGTAAAATGGACGGTTTAGATGATTTGTTACAATATATACTATTTTTAGAGTTCAAAATCTTATGTTTTTTACAACCATAATGTTCACGCCAAGATGATTGATAAAATGGTTTTTCAATGCTTGAATTATAATGTTCGATGAGTAATGAGGTGAAAATTTACTTATTTTGATAAGGCTGCAGCTACCAAACCATTGTCCATAATAAATTGCTATGGTTTTTAATTTGAAATAAAAAAAAAAGAAGGAGAAATAAAGATTGAGCTTTAGTAATAGTTTATTTTGAACTTTTTTAGCTCTATTTATTTATTGAGATTGTATACAATGAGACTATTTACCTTTGATACAAGGTGGTCACAATTATTTATTGAAAAAGTATAGAATGAGACCATTTACCTTTGAAACAAAGTGGTCACAATAATATTGACCATTGAATATGAAATTGGGTGGCTGTAATTATTCTATTGATGAAGCTCAAACTTCAAATTTTTTTTTTTCGAACTTTGTGATACATCCAAACTATCAAATTTTTACATCAAATGGTTGTAAAGAATTGTGACCACTTTATATCAAAAGTAAATGGTTTCATTGTATATAATCTCTTACTTATTATCATCCCATGTAAAATTTGATAGCCACTTAATTTTACTTCTAATGGTCAAGATTGATTGTGACCACCTTATACTTAAAATAAATGGTCTCATTCTATACTTCTACTTATTTTAATACTGTATTGACCGTCAAATTTATATTTTTGAATCACCAATTCGTAGATCTAACATGTAAAGGGATTCATAGTAATCGATGCGTTTCGCACCATAAATCCTTTGAAAACTAGGGCAGACGAATGAGACAATTCCTCAAGAAATACTTTTTTAAAAAATTATATTAATCAAAGGGGTTAATGCCTTTGCCACCCTCCATTAAGGGTGGCAATGGTCCGGGTGGCTCGGTCCCTAAAACTTAGGTTCTAGGCCAAAAATGTGGCGTCAAGGCCAGGCCAGGGCTAGAGCCTGCTTGATTCGGACTAGTGATGCTCTTGTTAGCTTTATTTTTCTTAAAAAAAAAATCTATCGGCTTTGCTCTAATAGGATCAGGGTGGGGCCTAGGTTAGGGCCATCTTGGCCTAGTCTGGGCACGGGCCAGCCCTAAAGGGAATAGGTTTGGGCTTGAGCCAGGGCCAGGGCTGGCTCTGCCCGTTGCCCGCCGTACCCTCCATTCCTGCTGCTAACATGTCAAAAAATAAATAAATTAATAATTATTAATTTCATAATATTAAAAGTATAGTAAGGTCATTCCTCATAATTATCGAAGTCTTCTTTTTTTTCTTTTTTTCAAAGCCATCTCCTTAGTCGTTGGAGATTGCATTGGGGTATGGCCCACATTACCCCCACATTACTACGTGTCATAATATAATCTAGTCCAGCAACTCGATACAACCCATTCTCGCCTACTTATCGTTATTAATCACCTTAATACTTGCTCTAATATCCTATAAACCATGCCTTTAAGTTTTAATAATTACGGTTTGTGCCTCCACCCACTCCATTCCCACCCTCTAGTCAACGACTCCTGACCTTCTTTAGTAATTATTAATTTTAGGAAAATAGTTGGATAGAGCTGCATCCCTATTAAAATAAGTAAAGCTTTACTTCATAATTCATCAAAAATTACAATTCAAGCATTGAAAATTTTTTAGAGCGATATCTCAGCATGAACATTATGGTTGTAAAAAAAAATTAAGATTTTAAGCTCTAAAGTTGTGTATATTGTAGTAAATTATCTAGACCATCAATTTTACCTTTAAAATAAGTGCTCATTAATCTACAAGATTTGTACTATATTTTGAGTTTCAAATTTTATTATCAGTGTTGGAAACTTATTATAGATCCATCATGGATATTTCCATTGCCGAAAGTACTTTTTTGAGAATTTGAAATGTGGGTTTTATTTTGTTTTCATAAAACCTAGGCCTTATAGAAACTTCATCGGTTACTAAATTAAGTCTAATTTTAATATGGATAGTTTTGGTTAATGAGAAAAATATCTCTACCTTTTATTTTTGCCATCTATTTCTCAATAGACCTCAAATATTTAAATTATTCCTATCAACATAAAATCCTGATCTTTTCTATTTTCCCATTTATGTTTCATGCATCTCCCTCTAAATTAGGTCCCTCATTTTCTCGCTTCTCTTTTTTTTCTCTCTCCAATACACAAGTTGAGATTTGAGTTTTCCTTGCATCGCTCTCTAATACACAAATTGAGGTTTGGGTTTTCCTTGAAAGACGCGCATCCTAGCCCTTTTCGAGAACAAGTTTTGCAATGTCCTTTTTCCTCAAGCACCAAAGAAAAACCCGTGACTGTGTATGTAGGGTTTGCAACAAAAGTGGGAAAAGATCTAGCATCATATCCAAGGTGAGAGCTGTGTGGTACTGTTGACAAAGAAAGAATAACTCAGAAGGAGATGCCAAATGTGAAGCCATTTGATTTTTGGAAAGAGTGTCTTGGCAAAATTGGAACACATTGTTATTGTTATATACCATAGCCACCACTGCCATTACTACAAGCACCATGATTGCACTCTCTACGAAAGACCTTAATTTTTCTATTGTCAAGATTTCGAAACCCTAAAGAAAAACCTTAGTTTTTCTATTGTCAAGATTTCAAAAAATAAAGCTCTTTAAACTACAGAAAATTGAAATTAAAGAGAGCTCTAGGGTTTGTAAGTCAAATGGGGTTCATCTTGAAGCTCTTAATAGGAAATTGAAAATTGAAGCCGTTTCTAGTGGCCTCCTCTATATTGAAATTGGGGAGAATTTTCGATGTTTAGAGAGAGAAACGGAGAGGCGGAGTTTTTAGAGAGAGTGAGAGACGAGATATACGGAGTTTTTTGAGAGTTAGAAATGGAGTCATTTTATAGATTTTGTAGGGCATGTATGGTGAAAGGGCCTAATGGTCGAAAGATAGAAACTTTGGGCTTCTTGATAGGAAACCAAAAGTGTACGGAGATATTTTCATTAATTATATTAACCTTTTTAGTTATTACTGATTTCTGCTTGATAAATTTGACTTTCAATTGACCGTTATAAGAACCCGGGATCCCCGCTCTCTTGGTTACCCGTCTTGTGCTGTTCTTCTCCTCTCGATTAGATTTTTCATAGCAATTGTTTTTGGAGAGAATATTTCTCTTTTTCTCTTTCTGGCCATGGCTCTTCTTCAAGACCTCATTAGCCTGAACCTCTCTGATTCAACAGAGAAGATCATTGCAGAGTACATATGGTATTCAAGCCATTGACATCTCTGTTTTTTCTATGGTTTTTTCTTTAGTAGTTTTTTTAATGATATTCTTATTTTCTGCTAATAATTTTTGAAAAAAAATTATGTGGGTTTTTGCAGGATTGGTGGATCTGGCCTGGACATGAGAAGCAAAGCAAGGGTAAGTTTATTTTCTCCTTGATGTTTCTTATTTTTTATATGTTGTTTTTTCTCTCTCTTTTCTAACGTTATTTATTTATTTGCTTTTTTTGTTGGTATTTATTTATTTATATATTTTTGGGTTAGACTTTGTCTGGTCCTGTATCTGACTCACGCAAGCTACCTAAGTGGAATTATGATGGATCAAGCACAGGCCAAGCTCCTGGAGATGATAGTGAAGTCATCCTTTAGTAAGATTCATACTCGTTTTTTTTTTTTCAGATTTTTTTTTGTTATTTGCCGTTTGTTATTTACCCATAAAAAGATTTATTTGTTATAGGTTATATATTTTATGTTTTTAATTATTCTTATTTGCCTTATTTCTTTTGTATAACAGTCCTCAGGCTGTATTCAAGGACCCATTCAGGAGGGGAAACAATATTCTGGTAAGTTATCTTAATTGGGTTTTCTTTTTTTATTTATTTTCTATTAATCATGTGCATATATGATATTCCTTGAAATATCTTTTGTGATTAATTAATTTTCATTAGTAAATGATTTATTTCCTTAGTCCATCTGTTGTTTTGTTTTGTTTTCAATGATATATATTTTCTTGGGATTTTTTAAAGGTTATGTGTGATGCTTACACCCCTGGAGGAGGGCCAATCCCAACTAATAAAAGGTTTAATGCTGCCAAAATTTTTAGCCATCCAGATGTTGCAGCTGAAGTACCATGGTAAGAAAAATGAATACCTCCTCCTGTACCTTTTTCTTTTTCTCCCTTGTAACTTTTTATTGCTCTTATTTATTCCTTTCTTTTTTTAGAAATTCTTTTGTCACTCATGTGGGTATTCATTACTATTACACATTTACCTCTAGTTTTTGTCTTTTTGTTGAGATCTTAGAAAATATGGAGTACCCCAGTTTTCTAGATGAAAGAGTAAATAAAATCATTATTTTTAATTTTTTGGTCTTACAAAATTCATTAAGGGATTATTCTTGTTAATTAAGGTATTCTAGAGAAGAATAGTAAAATTCAGAGGAAAAAATTCTCTTGAAATAATGTTCTTTTGTGGAACACTAAGAACATGGGTGTCTTAGGTACTTTTTGAAAAGCCAAGGGAAAAGTTTGATGTTTTGGTTAAATCACAAGAAAAAAGTAGTTATATTTTATAGTCAAGATTAATATTTTAATTTTTTATTTATTTACTTTTCTATAATTTTTATGCAGGTATGGTATTGAACAAGAGTACACTCTCTTGCGGAAAGATGTTAACTGGCCTCTTGGTTGGCCAGTGGGTGGCTTTCCTGGACCTCAGGTATCGTTTAAATTAGATTTTTTTTCTTGATATTATTACAACCATTTTTATTGTTTTTGGGTAAGCAATAGTTCATTTTTTTGATTTTGTTTTCTATAAAAAGACTGAAATATCAATAAGATTGGTGAAAATCAGGGGAATTGTCATGATTATTCGCTATTAATTCTTTGATTTTTATTTATTTATTTGGTAATGCATATTGGATTGTCAAACAAACCATAGAGAAGTACATTATCAAAGGATGATGATATATTTAATGATCTTTGAATTTTGATCAGGGCCCCTACTACTGCGGAGTTGGTGCCGACAAGGCTTTTGGCCGAGATATCGTGGATGCTCACTACAAGGCTTGCCTCTATGCTGGTATTAATATTAGTGGTATCAATGGAGAGGTTATGCCTGGGCAGGTAATTTCGTGCTCATATTTTCAGCGACTTTTTCCTCATCTTAGTTTCATTGTTTTCCGTTAAAGAACTGCAATTCACACTTTAATTTAGACTATATTCAGGTATGTATTTATTTCAACCCCAATTAGCTGGGATTGATAGTTAACTCTTTCTTTTATTGATTTAAAATGGTCCAAAATTTTGTCATGGTGCATCGTCTGTATAAAAATTGGTGTATGTGTAACAAAATGCAGACCATGATTCAAAATACAGTATTGATGGGGGAGAGGGATCTACTTTTGTAGAACCAATCAACCAATCCATATGAGCATTTTTCATTTTTCTTTGGGTTGCTGTTTTCTTATTAGCAATAATAACTGTGATAGTTCTTATGGGACCTAAAATACCATATTTTGCTGTATTCTTTCGACAGTGGGAATTCCAAGTCGGTCCTGCTGTTGGGATCTCAGCTGGTGATGAAATATGGGTTGCACGTTATATTCTCGAGGTACCAAATGTTTTCTTTACCGAATTTCAGTTTGTTTATTTTTTCCCTGTTCATAAATTAGGATACTTGGTAACGATTCCTTTGGTTTTCAAAATTGACTTGCAATATTAACTTTTCTGGGTTTTAAAAATTTGGGGAAATTCAGAGGATCACTGAGATTGCAGGAGTTGTTGTGTCCTTCGACCCAAAGCCCATCCCGGTTAGTTGAAAACCTTATACTTTAATTTTGATTTGTAATCATAAAAATACATTAGAAGCCATAATAGATGTGCTTGTAATATCCCATATCTGTACTGATGGGAAATGCAGGGTGATTGGAATGGAGCTGGTGCTCACACAAACTACAGGTTGGTTGCCATTTATTTGTACTTCTTTTCTCGAAGTTTCTAGTAACACTTTTGAAATTTCATCAAGTAAATTATACACAAGTGCACAAAACTTAAAAAATTCAGAAAGTTTCAATTTGATGGATTTTGAAAAATGTCTCGTTATGTAACATGCTTCTTGAAAGACACCCCTTAACAATTTCTGAAAAATGGATATAAATGTTTATTTGTACCCTATCTTCGAACTACTAAAGCTTACATGCCAACACTCATGTAACCCTATTTTGTCTATTTTTTCAAAGTACAAACTAATCTTAAAATTCATAATTGCTGACATATTGTTACTGCACTTATCTGTATATTTTCCTTTTGGATTTGTATATTAAGCTTCAAGGCCGGAATCAAAGGTGTTCTGTATAGAGGGTTGATATAAACTGTAACGAGAATTGGAAGTTCCATGAACTCCTTGCGAACCCCAGCATATATGTAAAAACCCTTTTATTTCCATGATATCTATATTAAGTTAATGTATCATAATGTCATATCTGTTTCTGAAAAGCTAATATCAAACAACTAGGTTCCCTTTTTATTTATTGATCTGACTTTCTCCCTTTCTTATCAATAATTTTGCCTAACATTTGTCCTCTCTGTCTCTCTAATTTTTTTTTCTCAGTACTAAGTCTATGAGGGAAGATGGTGGTATTGATGTGATTAAGAAAGCAATTGAGAAGTTGGGATTGCGACACAAGGAACACATTTCTGCCTATGGTGAGGGCAACGAGAGGCGCTTGACTGGTCACCATGAGACTGCAGACATCAACACTTTCTCTTGGGTAATTTCTTTTTCTTTTTTCTCTATAAATTTTTCTAAGAAGAGAAAGCAATTACAGTAATCATATTTATTGGGACCATAATTTATTCACTCAATCAACCTTTGTTTATTTGTTGAATAAGGATCCTTGTTCAATGCTCTGATTAATCAATTAATTCTTGATTGTTGCTGTTGTTTTCTTGTTTGTTTTTTCTTTTGCAGGGTGTTGCTAACCGTGGTGCTTCAGTTCGTGTCGGCCGTGATACTGAGAAGGATGGCAAAGGTTAGAATTATTTTCCCTTATTTCTTTTTGGTATATAAATTTGAAATATTCTAGAATTTGTGAAATGCTCCTCCCTTTACACTCCTTTTTTTTGCCAGATTACAAACATTTCTATGAATTACATGAAAAATAGAATTATTTTCCCTTATTTCTTTTTGGGATATAAATTTGAAATATTCTAGAATTTGTGAAATGCTCCTCCCTTTATACTCCTTTTTTTTCCAGATTACAAACATTTCTATGAATTACATGAAAAATATGCATGAAAGACGTAGTTTCAATAAGTTTAGTTTTTTTATGGGAAAATAAAAATGACAGTTTCGTAGTCTTGTCTCTCTCTTAGTTCTCTTTTATGTGTGACCCTCGAGCCTCTTCTTTGTTAAAACTTGCACCTCAGTTTAATTTCTATGACTGGATATGTGGCCCTCATACTTCTATTTTGTCATTCTATTTTCACTTCTTAGTAGAACTCTTTCTTTGCTTGATCTTAATTTTAAAATTTTGTGATATGGTGTTTGTGTTTTTATTTGACAGGGTATTTTGAGGACAGGAGACCTGCATCCAACATGGATCCTTATGTGGTCACCTCCATGATCGCTGAAACGACTATTCTGTGGAAACCATAATCATGCAAAAGAAATGGAGAGTACATAATCATGAGAGAGAGAGAGAGAGAGAGAGAGAGAGAGAGAGAGAGAGAGAGAGTATTATTAGTAAACTACTATTGTTGGTATTGTCTTATTTAAGTTCTTGTCGAGTGGTCGTAGGTCCTCCGTAGTGGTAGTTGGTCGTAGTTGGTTTGGGTTTTTGGTTTTACTTTCTTTT